GTATATTAGTAGTGTCAACCTTGGTATTGGAATGCGGAGTTGGTAACGGCGTCCCATGTGAAGGATCAGATTGTAGGTGTACCGTCTTCGAACTATTCACAGGCGGAAGGTGGAGATAAATTGTACAAAGCAGGACTTATTCCTTGAAACTTCATGCATCAATTGTGAGATGGTAAGAAATTGTTATATGAAATCCTGCATTTTTTTTGTTATTGGTAATAGGGCTATCAAAACTAATATTATTGTAGTGTTTGCAAAAGTTTATTTAAAAGCAGAAGTTAGTGATGGTGAATTAAGTTGAAATTAAGTATTTATTTCTAAAAGTTGGGGGTGTTTGCAAATGAGCTGGAAAATCAACTAAAATAGAAAAGGCAGGTACGTGAGTGCTTTTAAAATTATCTGTTTAAAGCAGCTTATTTTAAGAGAAGTAAAACAAAAGCTTGTTTTGCACACACCTAAAAACAGATTATGTGCAGAAAAATGCTCCTAACCTATTTCTAAAAACATTATGACAACTTTCCCTCTTCTTTGTTTAAAAGTCTTCGCATTGATTTCAGAATAAGAGACCAAATGAATTTCAAAAATTGCAGTGTTGATGGTGGTTTTTTGACGCAAATTGAATAAATGGAATCAGAAGTTCATATGAGAAATTTACGAGCGAAAGAAATCATGAAATTTGTATTATATAGTGATTTTTAATTCGAATCTCACAAACATGAAAGTTGTAGGTTTATTTGTCGGGTTTATAACAAGATTCGAATCAGGACAAATTGGTATGCAAAAGTTATAACCTACAATACTGTCGTCAACAGTAAGATAAAGGTTCCAAATAAAATCCCAAAAAACACGTCACTGGAGTTGCAGAATTTGATCTCGTGTTTTCAATGCAACTTGAATGAGGGCAATTGATGTTCGTATGTGAAAGTTATGGCCTAAAATAGTGTCGTCGTCGACTCATTTTATAATTAAGACAATATAATATAATATAATTATGTGGGCAAATTGTAATAAAAACCTCATTCACTCATTTTACACGTAGCAAAAGTGAGCATATATAACTTGAACTTTGCCAAAGGGAAAATTAAAGTATATTTTTTCTATCCACATCAAGAAAACATTCCTTTCACTTCATTTTCATCCATCACAAGCAATCCCATCATTCTTGACAACGTAACATAAATATATAAATCTCTTGCAAAAAAACAACAACTACACACACACAGCACTAAATAATAATTAAATATCAATGGCTTTTGCCAATTTCTTCCTAATTATTTCCATCCTACTATTCTCATCCTCTCACTTTTTCCACATCTCCCATAGCATGGATCAAAACCAAACCCTTCAATCCATGATGCTACGAGCATGCGAGAAAATCGACAATCAAGACTCGTGCCTCTCAAACATGCAATCGCGAATCGAAGGCCACGACGTTCACACACCTCAAACGGTACTCAAAGCGGCCCTCCAAAACACGATCAAAGAGGCAATGTTAGCCATCGACACCATCTCAACATTCAACACCTTATCCATAAGCTACCGAGAGCAAATAGCCATCGAAGACTGCAAAGAGCTCCTCGATTTCTCAGTGTCCGAACTAACATGGTCCTTGTCCGAAATGAACAAGATTCGTGCCGGTTCGAAGAACCCACGCTCGGACGGAAACCTCAAGGCTTGGCTTAGCGCTGCCCTAAGCAACCAAGATACTTGCCTTGAAGGGTTTGAGGGCACCGACCGACGCCTCGAGCGGTTTGTAAGGGGGAGTGTATCACAAGTAACTCAACTCATCGGCAATGTGCTAACGTTGTATGTACAAATGCACAGGCTTCCTTTCAGACCGCCAAGAAGCTACACTAATGCCACATCAACTAATTATGATGATGATAATAATGGTGATGAAAATGGAGATGGCAGAGATTTCCCGACATGGATGACGGATGGAGATAAGGAGCTTCTTGTTTCGGAAAGATCGAATAATAATAATGGAATGCATGTTGATTCGGTGGTGGCGTTGGATGGAAGTGGGAGATATCGTTCGATAGGGCAAGCGATATTTGAGGCTCCGAGTTATAGTAAAAGAAGGTATGTGATATATGTGAAGAAGGGTGTTTACCAAGAGAATATAGATATGAAGAAGAAGAAGAGTAATATCATGCTTGTGGGTGATGGAATTGGGAAGACTATTATTACTGGTAATCGGAATTTCATGCAAGGATGGACTACGTTTCGAACAGCTACGCTTGGTAATTTATTTCTCCTACCTTTTATATCTTTATAAGTTGTGAGAAATCAATTCATTTATACATAACTTTGAGTTTATTGCACTTAGTATCTATATTATAGAACTATATCGAATTGATAAAAATTGCCCGTGTTATAATTATTAGCAAAACGTCTCTTACAATGTATTTGTTTTAGCACACAACCCTCTAATTAAAGTCTACATAGTTATTTTTAGGGGTTACTTTTGCCAAACAAATGCATTGTAGGGGGGATTTTGTAACTATTTATAATATGGGGAGTTTTTAGCAATTTGATATTTTACATAAGTGCTTAATGCAAACATATAACTTTTAGGTGATGTTTGCAAAAGCTTATTTAAAAGCAGAAGTTAGTGATTGTGAATTAAGTTGGAATTAAGTGTTTATTTCTACAAGTTGGGGGTGTTTGCAAATTAGCTGGAAAATAAACTAAATTAGAAAAAACAAGTACATGGGTGTTTTTAAAATTATAGCTTAAAGCTGCTTATTTTAAGAGAAGCAAAAACAAAAACTTATTTTGCAAACACCTAAAAACTATTTATGTGTAGAAAAAAATCTCATAATCTATTTCTAAAAGCATTCGCGAACACCACCTTAATAGATTTGTTAATATTGATTTAAATTAATACATATTCTCAATCAAAATAGGGCCTTATTAAATCCTTTGGAAAAATGCAAAAGTGACCTCCCTATGTATTTTATTGAAAAAGTCACATACTAAAGTTTCATGCCAAGGCTTTCTATCCTCGCCAACAAAGTTCTTATCTATTCCTTGTAGGAATTATTAGTAATTAATTCATTTGGAGATTTAAATAAGTAACCCCAACAATAAATTAATATCAAAATACTTAAGCCCTGGTTGTTAAGATAATATTTGCGGGTCGATCCGACAAATTATTGGGAATGCCAGACATTAAACAAAATCTAACTATTTAGTTAATAATGACTAATCTCTCCAACCAAACGAAAATCCCGACACCGCTTTCTGACAATATATGATATAACTGCAGCCGTATCGGGGAAGGGATTCATCGCAAGGGACATGACATTCCGCAACACAGCGGGCCCCGAAAAGCACCAAGGAGTGGCCATCCGCGTCGACTCGGACCAATCGGCGTTCTACCGCTGCAGCTTCGAAGGGCACCAAGACACACTCTACGCACACTCGCTCCGTCAATTCTACCGCGAATGCACCATCTCCGGCACAATCGACTTCATCTTCGGAAACGGAGCAGCCGTACTCCAAAACTGCAAAATATTCACAAGGGACCCACTGCCCCTCCAAAAGGTGACCATCACAGCACAGGGGAGAAAGGACCCACATCAGAGCACCGGGTTCACTATCCAGGACAGCTACGTGTACGCCACGCGCCCCACGTATTTAGGGCGGCCGTGGAAGCAGTATTCGAGGACCGTATACATGAATACTTACATGAGCTCGATGGTGCAGCCCAGAGGCTGGCTCGAGTGGTATGGTGATTTTGCATTGGGCACTCTTTGGTACGGTGAGTATAGGAATTACGGACCCGGGTCGTCCACTTCGGGTCGGGTTCAGTGGCCGGGTTATCATATTATTGGCGATGCTTCCACTGCTGGGTTTTTCACTGTTGGCCGGTTTCTTGATGGGGTTTCTTGGTTGCCCGCCACTGGTGTTAAGTTCACCGCCGGTCTCACTAATTAATTTAATTATTCATTATTATTTGTTTAATTAGTGCTATTTAATGATGATTGTTTATTGGTAATTAATCATATTTATCTTTGGATTTATGGTAAAACAGAGCTTCCAACTTTTCTTATTATATACTGGTATATGTCTGCAAAGCAAAAATCTATTATTTTCAGAAAATATATGGTACAATTATAATTATAAAGGGTAAATTACAAATACCCTCTGAGGTATGGTCAATTTATAAAAAAAAAGCCTCTAGTATGGATAATTACATCTACCTACTCAACTATGTAAAAAACTTACAAATACATCCTTATGAT